GCAGGGGGCCATGCACACACGCACGGGCGCAGGACACATGTGGGGCCGTGCGCACATGAATTGCAAAGAGATGCTATATTCTCTGTTAAGGTCCTTGTTCTGAATCAGTTTTGGATAGTAATTTGTTTGTTTTTTCCCCCAGGAAAACTTTTGCCACAAATTCAAACATGAGGATAAAAGCTTGAACATAAAGGCAGTCCTTGACTTATGACTCACACTGAGCTTAAAGTTGTTAACTAAGCAAGGCAGTTGCTATAAGTGACTTTGCCCCCACTTTATGGCTCTTTGGCCACAGCTGTTAAGCGAATCCTTGCAGTTGTTAAGCAAATCATCAGGCCACGACAAATGGCTTCCTCCGTTGACTGCCTGCCTGAACACACGATTGTGGGGATGATGTGACTGTCATGTGCGCAAAACGAATGCAAGCTACTTTTTCGGTGACTTTCTAACCAGTGGTGGGATTCAACCGTTTCGCTGAGCGTGTGCTTCACACTTTGCCCAAACCAGTCCGAACAGGCTGAATCCCACCTTGATTTCTAACCTTGAATGGTAGCTAAATCAGTAATTGTTATTCCAGTATTTAAGGGGGTGGAGAAACCTTTGGATAATTGTGCCTTCTGGAAGCCCATTTCTCTTATTTTGTATCCTTAAAATCTTTAAAAAGAGAAACGTGCAGGGGTTTTAGCCTTATTCCTTCTACGGATGTCACTTTTGCCCCATTTTTTTTAATTTCCTGGTGGCCTGTTGGAGTTCGCACACCGGCAGTTGCCTTCCTAACCCAACACTGTGGCCCAACACTGGTGTAGCAGTGAAATTACAATTCACACAGCATATAAAACCAGGGGTGACCAACCTTGGTAACTTTAAGTACTTGTGCACTTCAATTCCCGGAATTCTGGCAGTTGAAATCCACAAGTCTTCAAGTGGGCAAGGTTGGAGACCCCTGATTTACATGCTATCGGTAGAACATTTTAAAGCAATATGTTTGGTATTGTTTCCAACTGTTCTGACTCAGATCTCCAAACACGGCAAACCTTCTGAAGTGAACTCAAAACATTCCTTTATTGTGAGCACCAGCAGCCCCGGCAAATTTTCTCTCTCACAGCAGGCTAACAAATCTGTTCGGCAGGGAGATGAATAGTTGTCGGCCGCATCTATTCATCTCCACTCCCTGCCTTTTATCCCCAGATCTTCTGTCCCAAGGACCGGCCCATAGATTTCCACTGCTCTCCTCTCCTCTGCCTTCTGCGCATCCGCGCGTCAGGCACTGGACCCAGCTGTTCCTCCTCTTCCTCATCAGCCACCTCCAGACCTGGAGGCTGTTGACTCTCCATCTGAGGGCTGACGGGTGGGCCAGGGTCCGCCTCTGTCTCTCTTTCTGACAGCTCCATTCCCTCTCCCCCCTCG